ATAGTCAAAACAAAACTACTAATATTTTTAAATGAAGAATATTAATTAAATTACTAATTAAATAATTTCTATTCTCAAACTATACGATCTTGATTGATTAATGGGTATAGGTTGTTCCAAGAAATTGTTGATTGGTGAGAAAATTTATTTATTTAATTATTATTATTCAACACACCATGTTTCCTTCTAGATGATGAGCCCCTACACGACACAAACTCGTGTTTTATATTCATATCACGTCAAAGGCATATTGTGTGCTTTGTTGAAAAATAAAAAATAAAAAAAATCAAAGACAATCCATGAATGATTTGTATGCATCCATATCCAATCAATTATGTCGGCTAAAAATTGAGTGCACAACCTGATGCATTAAAAAATTGAAAAAAAAATGTTAATTAATGGAGGTACAGTTGTTTGTTAAAAAATAAGTTAATTACAATATCACCTGACGCAAATTTCATTTATGTACCAAATGGCATGTAAGTTAATTTCACCATTTTCGTAGAGAAAGGTAGAGATTCCAGTCTAAATGTGGGCAAAAAAAGTGTGTTTAAGTGGGGTGTGATTGTATTTATGTAAATGTTAATTTTTTTAATTTTTAAATTAAGAAAAATCTTCCATTTGTGTAGAGTGTTTGGACAAATGCATACCATTACAAAAAAAAACGAATCTTATACCAGCCCATTAATCTAATGGTATAATTTATCTTCTTTCAAAGGAATTTGTTTTGAGTCTCGTGGTGGGCAATTTGTGAAACGTGTAAGTACTTGCAAAAAAAAAGAAAAAAAAAAAAAAAATACAGGCTATCGTGACATTCTTAAATGTAATAAAAGAGGGCAAAAGAGTGCTATATGTCTTGGTTGGAGAAAAACTTCATTGCGCATGTTGTATTGCATTCGAATCGTTCGCGTAATATATATATGTTCATATGTATATTATACATGCTATGCATAAATAATTGGATGTGCCCACTATACGATACATCAGGCACAATAAAATTTTTCTTCTCTCGGTTGGAGAAAGCAACCACGCACCACACCACCAGATTTGCAACATTGGTCCATGCATGACTTTCTCTACATATGGTTGTAAGGCCCATCTTAGTTAATTTGTTGGTGCAAACTTGACCAACCTTTTAGCTTGGTAATTACTCCATCAAACATATATATATAATCTTACTTCTCTCTCACCCATCAGAAAAAAAACATGGTGTTGTGAGGTTTGATGTCTTTGTAATTGAAAATGATGCTCCATGAAACAACTACTTGAAATTTCCCACCTCTCATGATTATATAAAAGTCTATGGATTCAAATTTAAGAATGGGCTTGTCCTATCATCATTTGTTTTGGACAAGATTTTGATGTGCCCAAACTACCCTCTTTAGATCCAAGCCTTAAGAAGACTCTGTGTTGTGTGTTGTCAGAATCACTTTAGGCCCTTATCTTGTGGTTGCATATCTCAGTCTGGCCCGAGAAATAAAATTCATAAAGTCAAGCATATCACCAAGGATGCAGAAAGGTTATAAATGGGCCGAAAGAACTTGCATATTATTATTGGGCCATGTCTTATTTCATTTTGCTAATTGTCTCCATCTTTCATTTTAGACCGCATTAGCTATATATCAGCGTGGGTTGAATTGGGTAGCCCAATGGTAGAAGCACTCTCTTGAGTCGTGTGAGCTTAATTTCGACTCGCTCAATTCTCCGAGTCATATAGGAGTTTAGGTTCGACTCATCCAATCCTCTCCCTCACAACTAGGGAAAATTATTGACTACCCCGGGGGTACATACCCCCGGGGCATACCAACCCTTGGATGTGGTGGGGCCCACCACCACATCCATAATCCAATAGCCCTCAGTACCCCGGGGTACCATACCCCTGGGGTATTCAATAATCTCTCCACAACTAGGGGTGGGATAAACCCGAGCAACTTGATTTTCGCTTGAAAATTTTATCGAAGTGGGTAAGGTACTAGAGGTTGTGGGATGGGATTGGTTCTAAAGTTTAGAGCCCGATTTTATTTTGCACGGGATTTGGACAAAGGTTCAAGTATCCCAAGGAACCTGAAAAATCCAAAGAACCGAAATATAAGAATAGTTTATAAAATTATTTATAATATCATTACATATGAGATCATATTATTGATATAAGATCATATAACATATAGTTTGGTTTATTTTTGTCACACATTTGCATGGTTTAGATAGGTGAATATAACATTTTATTATTTTTTCATGTTAATTTGTTGGTAAGTTATTAAACTCTAGGATGACCAAAGAAACCTGAAAAATCCATGAAACCCGTGCGATATAGCGCGGGCTAAGGTAATAGAACCTTGGGTTTGGCATGGACAAATCCCTTAGCCCGCCCAAATCCCATCTCTACTCACCACATGATTCGTGGAAATGGTCCACGAATCCAAACTCTGCACGCGGATCCACGCTTTTGGAGTGGATTCACCAAAAATTTATCGTACTCGAAATTTAAGTTCGTGAATTATAGTTTGTAATCTGTGGATTGGGTCAGATGGGCTGGATTCGCCTCATGTGAGCACAATAATGATTACAGGACTGGGCCAAATGGGCCGGATTTTGACCAATCAAGCTTCTTGTGAGCATGATATTGTGTTGTCATTATTTATAAAAAGTTTTTAGCAGTATTGAACGGACCTGTCGAGACCAAAGAAGAAAGTATACCAAAATGCGCCTTTTGTTTGTGTTTCATTTTACACAATTAAAATATATAACTACTTCTTAGATTTACTTAATAGAACAAAATTATAAATAGATACCTTATTAATTTTAAATAGCTTTATATTACAAAAGTTAACAAAAAAAATAATAATTAATGAATAAAAATTTTAATACATTAATTAGAATAGTATATATTAGTAAATGTACAGGCGCTCTCATGACGCTCCCACTCTCATGCTTTTACTTCTGTTCTCACTTTCGTTTTATGTGACTTAACTCACAACTGTTGTGCTTCCTAAACAATCATTTGTATTTTATATTTTTCCTAGTTAGCAAATTGGCAAATGATATGCAAATGTACTATTCTTGTATCATGGTGATTTTTGTATTGATTATATTCTAAAAAACAATATCCTCAATCATTCCGCTTCATTCCAAACAAGTTCCATCTTAGAATACCCTACCAACATTAATATCTCCTCCCTACCATTACCCCCTGAGCTATCCGCATCTGTTTAGTTATTCAATTGATAACCTACAAGAATGGCTGCCACTAATTTTCAGATAATCCATAATTTATATTTCAATCACTAAATAAAATCAAATTTGGGTGCCACTAATTTGCAGATAATCCATAATTTATATTTAAATTACTTAATAAAATCAAATTTGGATAATAATATTTTCCCGCATATCTAACCCTTCCTAACCTTGGAGTGGGGAGATCTCATGCACTATACTAACCATTTCATATTTTTTCTCTCATATATATATATATATATATATTTTTTCTTGGAAGCTAAAACAAACATACACCAATTATCCACACGTAATGGGACTTAAACTATCAACTTTTCTATTTGACAGAAAAGAGATTATATGCTACAAGATATTATGTTCCAATGCAACAATTTTATATCGCTTGCGTAATAATTTTATCATAACTTATGCAACAATTACTTTATATTATTTATAAAACAACTTTACCTAACTAATTCGTAAATGATGAATTATGTTTCGTAACCTATGTATTACTATTGTAACGGGTACATAAACACTGCAATACAAGAGGTGCTCCTGATTCCTTATTCTAATAAGATTAAGAGGGGTGCTAATCATAGTTGCCCCCGCGACTATGGAATCTCAGTGCTAGTTTAGTGGTTGACGCGTGTGTTTCTTTTCCAATAATTAATTATTATTTTTATGTTAACTTCCTTTTGCGTCTCTCATTATATATAATTACTATACTAACCTCCTAACTGAGAAACTAGTGAAAAAGTATTATAATCTGGTTCTCTCTCTAAAATTATCTGATTTTTTCAAATCTCTATTATCTGTTTCGAAGTATTTGGTTGTTTTTCAAATAAAAATAAATAAAATCAGATGAAAAAAAAAGTATAATCTGAAAAAAAAAATTATAGTACTTTTTTCTTTTTATTTTATGATAAATTTTTTTTTTTTTTTTTTATTTTTTTAATCTGAAAAGCCAGAGCAATACTTCGAATACAAAGAAATCAAATTGCTTTGATTTTTCATAATTATAGTACTTTTTATTTGAAGTATTGCTCTGATTTTTGAGATTAAAAAAATAAAAAGAAAAAAGTACTATAAATTTTTTTCAGATTATACTTTTTTTTCATCTGATTTTATTTATTTTTTATTTGAAAAATAACTAAATACTTCGAAACAGAGAATAGGGATATGAAAAAATCAGATAATTTTAGAGAGAGAACCAGATTATAGTACTTTTTCATTGGTTTATCAGTTAGGAGACTATTATAGTAATTATATATAATGAGACACCCAAAAGGAAGTTAGCATAAAAATAGTAATTAATTATTGTGAAAGAAAATACATGCGTCAATCATTAAACTAACGACTAAAATTCCACATTTGCGGGGGCGACTGTGATTAACACCCCTCTAATATTAATGCTTTAATTCATCATTCAAGATTCAGCATGATGTCATCAATTTTGCAGGCCACAAACTTAAAGGTGTTCAAGGTACCCCACTGTGAAATCTTTGTATGATAAATACGGTAGAAGAAACTGATGCAAGCTGGACTCCATGGAAGAATCAATAATCACAACCCATCATATATTCAAATTTCATTAGTGTGAAATAAGAAAATTAATCAATCCAGCAGCAAAATTGATGGCAAAAGGTTTAATAGAGTATTAGACATGTCATCTTCAACCCTTAAAATAATTAAACACACACCCCCAACCCACCCAGCACCGACAGATAATGGTCTTTTAACTTGTACTGTATTTGGCTTCTTTCAAAAAATTTATTATCCGAGGACTTGATTAATTAGTTTGGTCAAAGTTTAAGTCACACAGAGCTCAAAGTAGGAACAAGGGCAAATTCAAAAGTGAAATCACAAAAATAACAAAATCTAAATTACACATAATAAAAATAAAAAAAATAATGCATAAAACTTGAGAATGAGAGCACGTACAAAGCATAAAAACATGAAATGTGAAAGCGAGAGCACGTACAAAACGTAAAAGTAACAAGAGAAGAATTATGTGACTTAGGTCACCGTTGTTAAATAGTTAAAACTGTGATGAACAATAATTGTTTTGGGTAGTCATACTTAATTGGGGTGGTACCAACTTTTAGTAGCATAGCAAGCCATCACTGCCTTTTGGAAATTGAGAACTACAAACCTGGTGATTTTCTTCCTTCTTTGTTTAAGCTCTTGGTTGCCAATTCTTGCTTTGATTTTACCTTAAAGATTATAAGAACTATAATACAGAAGAAAAAGAGTAAAATCTCTACCAAAATGGCACTTTCAATCTTCAATATCATTTTTGCTTCTCTCGTCATCAACACTCTAGGCACTGGAACCAACAATGCGACACCTGAATTCATCCTCGGCCGTGGTGGTGGTGGTGGCATCAAACTCACAATGCCACCACTAGTCCCTCAAGTGGCGCGGACAGCGCCAACACCATCTCTGCCTCTAGGACTACAACAGCTTGTTTTCGAGGATCAAAGACTTGCGGTGGTGTATCCAATCATCCAAAAGTTCAAGACCATCATCACCTCAGATCCTTTGGGCATCACTAAATCATGGGTAGGCGCAGATGTGTGCAACTACACAGGCTTCTATTGTAGCAATCCTCCAGACAACACTACTGCCAGGACTCTGGCTTCCATTGATTTCAACGGATTCCAGCTAAGCGCCCCTTCTCTAGATGGCTTCCTTGATCAGCTCCCGGATATCGCGCTCTTCCACGCCAACTCCAACAACTTTGCTGGCACCATCTCTCCAAACATTGCTAAGCTCTCTTACCTCTACGAGCTGGACATTAGTAACAACAAGTTTTCAGGGTCGTTTCCGGATGCTATTCTTGGCATGAGCAGCCTAACATTCTTGGACATTCGCTTCAATCTCTTCACCGGATCAGTCCCACCTCAGTTGTTCACACAAACAGACCTAGAGGCACTCTTCATCAACAACAACAATTTCATGCAAAGCCTGCCTGACAACATAGGCAGCTCTCATGTTCTTTACCTCACCTTAGCCAACAACATGTTCGTCGGTCCAATCCCACGAGGCATTTCAAAAGCCTTGTCCTCTCTCACTGAGGTTCTATTCTTGAACAACTTTCTAAGTGGTTGTCTTCCATACGAGATGGGGTCACTCAAAGAGGCTATAGTGTTCGATGCAGGCAACAATCGATTGACAGGTCCGTTGCCGTTTTCGTTGGGGTGCTTGGAGAATTTGGAGGTGCTGAATTTTGCCAATAACCTTTTCTATGGTATGGTGCCGGAGGTGGTGTGTGCCCTTGAAAATCTGGCGAATTTGTCGCTGTCCGGTAACTATTTCACGGTTGCTGGACCAATTTGTAGAAGCTTGATCACGAAAGGAGTACTCGATGTTAGAAATAACTGCATTCCTGATCTTCCATTTCAAAGACCAGTTCAGGAGTGTGTAGCCTTCTTTGCTCGCCCACGGTATTGCCCTTACATGGATACATACACTTACATTCCTTGTTGGCTACCCTATTTTAGTTCTCCTCCATTTATTGTACCTGAAATGGCTCCTACCCCTTAATCTTCTCTCATCATGCATTAATTCGAACATTAGTCCTTTGTTCATTTTTTTTTCTTTGTATTGTAAGATGTTTTTATATTAATAACAATGAAATTTCAGGCATTTTTAGTAGTCACTTGGGTATGTAACATGTTGAAATGAAGAATTGATCTGAGTTTGTTCAGCATCTGTTTGGATTTTCTTAACCAAAATCATTATTTTTTATTAAGTCACTTACTGCTACCTGGTTTTGCCTCAATCCAAAGTGATCACATTGTCATTGCCTACTGCAAGCATGTGGTCCAGCTAAAGATATCATTTACAAAGTGTTATATATATATATATATATATATATATATATATATATATATATATATATATTACCAAACAGCCTTGTCACTGGTCACTGTTCTTGATTTTTAAAGTTCTAAAATGTTAATGGTGAGCCGCAATACCAAAGTGGAAGACTTCTTTATTTTCATGATTCCAATTATGAGAATAACCACCCCCCCAAGTTAAACTGGTGCTTGCTGTTGCACCAGGAGCTGTTGAACCAGGTGCTAAAGCATGGGTGTTTTGTATCCATTGAGCAAAGACGTATTGCATGAAGTAGGGTTAATTTAATCCATTTAATTTTGGGAAACTCATAATTTAAGGTCACTTGGATTCTTCATGACCAATTTGTACTTAAATCATATTGGCCATTCAAAATCTCACTATATGATAAGGTAAAAATGTTATCATTGCTTGAGTTGAAAAAAACAAGTAACACAGATTCAAGTACAAGAATAGTCACTCATGCAAAATAATATCGGATTTTAAAACTTTTTTTTCGATCCAACCTCACTTATGCATGCACACTCCATGTATTCTACTTATGGATCCTGATAGCTCTCTTTGATTCCTGAAACTGTAGAAATAATTCAGGTTGCTCTTAAATTAACAATCAACCCACATTTCAAAAAAAGCATCTAAAATTTAAATAGGGACAGGACTCACCATTTGCGTGGCCCACGAATAAAATTGAGACAATTCACCCTCATTGCTCATGATATTGTGATAGAAAGCGACTGAAGTGGGCTGAAGGAAGCATGAGATTCCCGCAGAGGTGCAAGCAATTGTGGATGACGAAGTGATAGATCAACCTCATGTCAAAAGTTGAATTTGTAGATAAAAAAAAGCGAAAAAATTCTATGATACTAAGCTTAATATATAATTTAATTCAGCTGTAGTGGTCACTGATTGAATGATTAGCTTCAAATCCGCAAAGTTTGTACATAGAAAATGATTATAATTTGTAACCAAGGATTTGTTGTCCCCAATATTAGCCCCATGATCTTTGTTTCTCTTTTCTGTTGTTAGATGGCCAGTTTTGCGATTCTTAATTACTCTAAAGAAGTGCAAGGCTGCAGGAACACAATTTCTTATGATTTTAGTTTGAAAACAGAAGAGAGGGTTTAATTGCAACAAGCCTAAGTCTCTTGGTTACTATATTTACTGTATTAGTGTCTTTTAAGTTTTAAGGTATTGACAATTGAATATTTTGTAGCGTCTGACTATAGTTACTAAAAGTTACTGAGAGGATACCCTTTAATCATGTAGATGCGTTTTAAGCAAAATCGTGAGTACCAAGAAGAGAATGTGCAAAGTGAATAACATTTACACGAGATGCAGGATGGGCCGTCACACTATATTAGTTTTTTTTAAGGTATTGACAATCGAGTATTTTGTACCTTATCATTAAAAATAAAAATAAAATAAAATTTTCTTTTGGGCACTTTGGATAAGGTATCTTGAATGCTGACTTATAAAGATTTGCAACTATTGGAAGGAAGGATGTAGTTGGGACTTTGGACCTAATTTTCTATCAATTGGAGATCGACAATGAGTGCACACTGCATTTGAAAGACAAAACTAGCTGGTATGAAATCAAGGAGCCAAATATGAGAGATCTTTTTCAACTTTGGACCAATGTAGGCCATGCATGGAATTTCTTTACTATAGTCAGAAGGGAAGAGTCAAAGGCACTCAAATGTGATGATGAGGACAGCATATATATCCCAAGGGCATTTGAATTGGAAACATGATGTGGGATGTGCTTTTATGTAAAAGAAGATGCTCTTTTCTATCAAAAACCACATTCAACAGTGCTTCCTAACTCAAAGACCTAAACCACCCACCCAAAGCTCGTGCTGATATAAATTGTCCATCTAAGCTACCCTAATAGATTTGTCCATCCAACAATTGAAAGGTGCCGGAGGTGGTGTGTGCCCTTGAAAATCTGGCGAATTTGTCACTGTCCGGTAACTATTTCACGGTTGCTGGACCAATTTGTAGAAGCTTGATCACGAAAGGAGTACTCGATGTTAGAAACAACTGCATTCCTGATCTTCCATTTCAAAGACCAGTTCAGGAGTGTGTAGCCTTCTTTGCTCGCCCACGGTATTGCCCTTACATGGATACATACACTAACATTCCTTGTTGGCTACCCTATTTTAGTTCTCCTCCATTTATTGTACCTGAAATGGCTCCTACCCCTAATCTTCTCATCATCCATTAATTCGAACATTAGTCCTTTGTTCATTTTTTTTTTCTTTGTATTGTAAGATGTTTTTATATTAATAACAATGAAATTTCAGGCAGTTTTAGTAGTCACTTGGGTATGTAACATGCTGAAATGAAGAATTGATCTTAGTTTGTCCAGCATCTGTTTGGATTTTCTTAACCAAAATCATTATTTTTTATTAAGTCACTTTACTGCTACCTGGTTTTGCCTCTATCCAAAGTGATCACATTGTCATTGCCTACGGCAAGCATGTGGTCCAGCTAAAGATATCATTTACAAAGTGTTTATATATATATATATATATATATATATATTATCAAACAGCCTTGTCACTGGTCACTGGTCACTGGTCACTGGTCACTGTTCTTGGTTTTTAAAGATCTAAAATGTTAATGGCGAGCCGCTATACGAAAGTGGAAGACTTCTTTATTTTCATGATTCCAATTATGAAAATACCACTTTCATTGAGAGCCAAAAATAACCAATGATCATCCCACTGGCACTGCTCCTCCTTTCGCTGCCAATAAGAATCAAATGTTTGCAATCATCGCACAAATACTGCATAAAATAGGTTTAATTTAATCCATGCATTTAACTTTGGGAAACTCATAATTTAAGGTCATTTGGATTCTTCATGACCAATTTGCACTTAAATCATATTGGCCATTCAACATCTCAATATATCATAAGGTAAAAATGTTATCATGGCCCAAATTTTGGAGACAACTTGCTCCAATGGAATATGGAAAAAGTGTGCCACCAATTTGTGATCGCCCAGGAGGTCGTCAAAAAAGGGCGATTGGGGCTCACTTTTTGTGGGCCCATTTTTGTTTTCTTTAATTTTTTATTTCTGGACCAGAACAGTGTTCGTAAGACTTTGTTTGATTGGGAAAAAAAAGGAAAAAAAACATATTTTTGGCTTATTTTGGTCTTTTTTTTTTCTTTTTTTTTTTTTTTTTTTTGTCCTCAAAATAATTGAACTAAAGAGTCGTTTAAGGCACCAAACAGTGCGTTAAATGCTTTTTTGGGCAAAAAAAGTTTAAAAAAAATAGAGAAAAGTGTTTTTTTTTAAAAAAATTTAATTTTTAAAATATTTCTTCTTACATATAGCCGTTTTAGGCACTGTTTGGCTGACCCAAATAGTGCCTTAACGGCTATATTAGCACAAAAATCTATTTTTTGATTTTATTTTTTTAAAAAATAATTATATATATGTATATTTATTTATTTAAAAAAAAAAAAAAACTTTTCATTTTTTCTCTATAAATAAATCAACCCTTACTATTACTCACCTCATATCCAACCCATCTTCTCTAGTCTTCAATCTACAACTATAATCATTAAGTCATTTTCTCAATATTTTAGTTATATTTTTTATTCAAGTTCAATTCCATGGATCCTCCACCATCATATTACAACTAAAATTCCCAATTCAACCAATCAAATGATAATTTTGATCCCTTCTTATTTGTTGGAGAAGAATCTCAATTTCCGTTTCATCAACCTTCTCAAGTATCTAACATTCCTACTGAAGTGCCACAATCTAGTAACTCCCAATCTCCCAGAAAGCAAAGGGCTATTCGGATTCCAAATTGGTCCACGGTTGAAGATGAGGCTTTATGTTATGCATGGATGGCCATTAGCACTGATGCGGTCATCGGTTTAGAATAACAAAAGGCAGCATTATGGATCCGAATTCAAGAAAGTTTTGAGCAACACGTTAGTGGTGCTGGTACACCTAAAAGAAATCATGTCAGCTGCTTGAATCGTTGGTCTTTCATGCAACAAATGATTACCAAATTTTCTGGATGCATAGCCCAGATCGAAAGGAATTACCCCAATGAGCAAGACAATGAGTACAAGGTAAGTTATTTATTATATTAAATTTAATTGGTAGATATTTTAAAGATTTGTCTTCTAATAATTATTGATTTTTATTTTTTTAAATGATAATAGCCAAAGAGTTGTTCGCTAGTCAAAATAACACTAAATTTAAGTTTGATAGTTGCTAGAACATTTTGAAGAGCAATAATAAATGACATTTACATTGTCAAAAAGAATTAACATAAAAAAAAACAAAGGAGTGGAATCCACATTGATGATAGTGAGCCTATTGGTCACTCAAACCCATCTACTCCATCAAGTAATGCAGCAACGACACTAAGTTCGGTTGAAGGATCGACTCACATAGGCGAAAATGATCTGACGGATGTTGAAGAATGTCAGCGACCAGAAGGACGAAAAGCAGAAAAGCAAAGACGAAATAAGGATAAAAAACAATTTGAAAGTCAGAATAATTTCATTAGCAAATTTGATCATGCAACAGCCTTTTATCAAAGACAGTCTGAAACTCTTGAAGCCGCTAATATAGCATAAGAGGCCCGCAAAACAGATAAAGAAAAGACCAGACAACTCGAGCTTTAAAGCAAACTAAGAGAGATTGAAAACAAACAAAGAGTTGAAGAGATGTTAATCATGCAAAAAAATCCAGAATAGATGCCAACACAAGTCGGGAAAGCATGGCTAATTGAACGCCAAAATGAAATATTAGCATCTATACGCGCTC